GGTCCTAAGTGCAACAAGGTGAAAAAAGAAAAGAGAAAATTGTATAAGGAATCAAAAAACTATATTGTTTATTGATTAATTCTAGAAATCTTATTTCTCTCACCCTCTTTGGCTGGGTACATATTATCACTGCCTAGGTTTACACCAAATGTGGTGTTGCATTACAATCATAGAAGCAAAAACATTCATAAGTATTAGTCTTAGTGTTTTGAACGCATTCTCCAAACGGTTCTAATAAGCTTTTAAACATGTTGGAGCAATCTGATCGACATTTTTCGATGGTGCAGTTTGTGGGCTGTATTAATTTTTCACATCTTTTGACATTTACTCCGCTTATTCCTGAAATAACTGAAAAATGCAAGATAGAATTAGAATAAACCATTGATCAATGAACAATTTAACATTGAAAAAATATTAGAAATTGGGAAATCATCAAACCTGAAATGATAAGGATCAAGGCAACTATTTGTGAAAAGAAAAACTTAGTCATTTTTAATAATTCTGGTATATCAAAGTAATAAACTTTACTCTCAATGTTTTTTCTTTCTAATGTTGGTTCAATCAACATTCAGCTGCTTGTTTAAATAGAGTGAAAAATCTCTTTGAACTCCTTGAAAATTGGGTGGGGCAATGAACTGATATTTGTAGTAATTAATTTTTGAAAAATCTCTTTGAACTCCTTAAAAATTGGGTGGGGCAAATGCACTGATCTTTGTAACTAACTTTTGTGTAGTTGTATATTAATTATATGAAGTTATATTAAACGTTATATATTTGACAATCATAATTATATATTAATTAAATTTAATAAATACATTATATTTCATTTATTACATTTTAATTGATTACATATTTTAATATATAAATATAGAGTATAGAAGTTATATTTTCATTAATCACGGTTACATATATTAAACTTAATAAATATATTATATTTTCAAATAAGTTCACTCCTGTATCATTACATAAATATTTTATTAAAAAATATTATAGAAAGAAAGAAAAACATGACCGACTATACCAAATCCATGACAAAATTACGTTATAGAAAAACTATTTTGAATTAGATTATTTGTTATTAGTTTTCTTTGGTTTGAATTAACTCACCATCTTCTTCAGTATTAGAATCTTCCTTCTCATTAACCATTCTAGTCAATTTAGAAATTATTTTCAATTCTTTCATAAATTGAGCACCTTAGATGTTAAAGGCTCAAAAAGAGCCACTAAACAACTATGAATTGAATGTAAATGTTGTGAACCCTCCAAACTATTAACAAAGAAAGTGACATCTTCTAAAAGAGATATAACCAAGGAATCAGATTCTATTGGCACACTACCATCAAGATTCTTAACAAGAAAAATCCTTTCACAACACAAATATTATCATGATTATCCACCTCTTGCTCAGGCTATGCAAACTCCACCACAACTCCATCATTTGAACTAAAATGGCATTAGCCCATTAATAGTTTTATTATAACCTGGTTTGAAACAATATTTTTCTTGACACAAATCTTCGACAATGGCGTAAAAAACCTCTTGATACTACAAAACAATCAATTTTTTCAACAAGTATATTAGGTAGTTTGTAGTATAATAAGTGTTGTATCCACATGGATTTAGCAGAAAATACAACATTCTAAACTAGCTTAACTTGGAATAAAACGGTAAAAATAGATCTATTTTACCAATATAACTCGTTGTAAATTAGTTTGAACTTAAAAAGAATTGACTTCAGGATGATAAGGACGTGCTGAAGCTAAATTTCACAACTTTTTCCTTCTCTTGTAAAGCTTTAGTTATTAGTTATAAAGACGCAATTAATCATGTCTTAGGAGTTCTTTTATTTGGCTAGTGATAGATAAAGTTTCTACGGATTTATTTTACTTTATTATTTGCGCGTGCGGGATGTTATTTTATATATGCGTTGGTGGTTAAATATTTGATAGATGCGTTGGTGGTTAAATATTTGGTGTGGAGAAGATAAGTTTTATGACCTTTATTTTATGGTTTTAGTAAGTGTGATAGATATGGTTGCAAGCTAAGCTTTATGAAATTATGAGAGGAGAATTAAGGTATGATTATATTGTTATAGGGTGTGAGAATAAATATTTTGTTGATAAAATTCATAAATTGTGAGAAGGGGGTTTAAAATGAGCTTTAAAGGATGAATTTTAGGATGTAATTTTGTACAGTAGTTTGATGTAATTGGAATTTTGGTTTGATTATTTATGTTCAAAATGAAATTGTAGGTTAAATGGAGGCATTGGAAAAATTTTCGGTGTATACGTAAGTTTTATGAATGTTGATGATTCAACCGAAATTAATTCAGTTTTGAAAATAATTGTATAAGTGAATTGAAAAATTAAAGAGTTTTTTTCAAGTGCTTTGGTTAGACGGTAAAATTTAGAGAGTTAATATCTTAATGTTGCATAAATTGAACTTTTAGTAGAACTAGTCTTTCAGTAAGTTGAATGTATTTTATTTTTAACATGAGGATGTTGGGAATGTTGTTGGAATCTTTGAGATAAGATGAAAATTAGTTAAGTATATGATAAGTTAAGAGCAGTTAAATTAATTGAGAAAGTTGGTAAGTGGTTGTGTAGTATACTTCGATCAGAAGATATTGAAAGAGTGACTTTTTTGTGTTTGAGTTTTGTTGGGCGTGAGTTTTGAGTCATTAGGCGACATGTGTATATGTGACGTCCCACTGTTTGAGAAAATAAGAAGTTGGACGACTTTCACTTTTGTGTAAGTCTTGTTAAATGAGACATGAGGTGTTGGACACTAACATGAAAATAATAGGTTTCTATTTTTTGCATTGTTTATGTGTTGATTAAGTTTTAATTTTATCTAGATGATTAAAAATGATAATGATGATAAGTTAGAAGATGAGTTGTTTGGATGAAATACTTGCATGTGTTTGTAATGTTTGGTTGAGAAGCATGTGTGTCTCAACCAATTTTACATGATTTGAACTTTTTCAAGCCATAAATAATGACTAAAAGTTATTTCAATAGCCTAGTAAACTCTTTATTCCTCTTACATTGAAAGATAGAGCTAATTTTGAGATAACCTCCACTGTGACTAGGTCAACTTCAATTTCTTTTTCTAAAATTATGACCTAAAACAATCCCTTCCTTGACCATGAAATGGAATTTTTGTCCAGTTTAGCACAAAATGAGTTTCTATGTATCTTTTCAACACAATGTCAAGGTTGTTTAAGCATGTATCCAATGAACTACCATATACACAGAAATCATCCATAAATACCTCTATGATTTTCTCAACCAAATCAGCATAAATGGCTAGCATACATCTTTGAAATGTGGCTAGAGCATTGCACAATCTGAATGGAATTTTCCTATAAGAAAAGACACCAAAATGACAAGTGAAAGTTTCCTTTTCTTGTTCTTGAGGATGCACAACTATTTATTGTAGTCAGAGTATCCATCAAGAAAGAAATAATATTCTTGACTGGTCAATCTTTCCATCATTTGATCTACAAAAGGAAATGGGAAATGGTATTTCCTTATAGCTTGATTAAGTTTTCTATAGTCTATGCACATTCTCCATCCTGTGACTGTAGGGTATCTATTCGTTCTTTTCATTATCAATAATTGGCATCCCTTCTTTCTTCGGTACAACTTGAACTGGACTCACCCAAGGACTGTCAGATATTGGATAGATCATTCATACCTCAAGCAATTTCATTACTTCTTTTGTGACTACCTCCTTCATTACAAGGTTAAGTCTCCTTCATACCCCAAAAACAAGGCTTAAATATAAGGTTCAAAGAAAACTAAATGACTTTTCTCAAAATCAAGACCCAAAATAAACATGTTCTAATTATTTACAATTCAGCTTGACCCATGGAAATAAGAGTTTGGACATACTCAATAGTTGAAGCCTACTCAGTAGTTTTCCATCATGGGTACGAAATTTGTTATAAAAATAGGTTTGGTCCACTTATTTATATTGTTTTTAATTGGGACCAAACAACATGCTTGAGTTGATACATTTGAATACACAATTTTGTTATTTTAATCCCTTGATAAACCTAATATAATATATTTCAATACAACAATAGTTGAAATTATTTTAATGCATTCTAACGTCTATTTCCATAGACTATTGATGGTTTATCTTGATTGATTTTCATTTTTCCAAGATTTTAGAAAATTTCCATGAATTTTATTAATGATGAAATTTATAACATAATTACGTACAATCCAAAAGTATTAGAACTTTTAGTTTAAATTCATATGAGAAACAAATACAAATTTAATAATTTTATATTGAATGAATAATTTTCATTCAAATTTTGAAGTATTTGTAAAAAAACAATGTGATTAGTTGATTGGGATGTACTTGCAATTAAAAAAACTTAATAAGGGACTAAATTGCAATTATAAAAAAATCAATAACTAAGATGCAAATACTTAAAAATAATTAAGGATCAATTTGTAATCATTAGAAAATATATATAGATGTCAATTTGTAATTTTAAGAAATTTTAGAGGCTTATACATAATTATGAAAAATAATTTACAACAAATAGAAAAAATTCAAATTTATTCTTGAAGGATGTAAACTATATATTTAAGTCAATAAAAAAGTAAAATATAAGTAATAATTAATATTATTTTTATGTTATGTACATCAAAAGATAATGTGTTACATAATAGGTCTGAATATTACGATTGAACGTTTGTTGTATATGAACTGTTGTGTAGTATGTATAAGGAGAAATCACTATTTGATGTATTGTTAGAAAGAGAGTATTAAATTAAGAATTTGAAGAGATTATTCTGACTTTATTAATTATTGAATTCGTAAAAAAAAAATTATCATGAACACGTACCTTCAGTTATAATATTAATTACAATATAGTGAAAAACTAAAATGAAATAAAGGACTTGAATTTAGAGATGAAACAAATTATAATTTTAAGATATTTTTATATTTTGTTAAATACAAACCATAGACTAAATTAAAAAGCTACTAAATTCGTAGTGTCCTTATAGTTAGCATTAAAAATAACAAAGTGAAGGTGTACACAATTTCTATGATTGATCATGAGAGTTGAATTTAGGAGGTGCAGACATATTAAAAACAGAGTAAAGCAATGCCTGGGATTGGGTAATCAATTTTTCTCCCATGTCTTGAAGAATCTCTCCGTAATGTAACAACATTGCTCCATTTTGAGCCAAATGCTTAGCCCTTTCTACTTCATCCTCATTCTTTGAACTTCGATTCACCCTCTTAATCTCAAGAACATACTCTCCATCACCCACTATCTCAAGGTTAACATTCACTGCAATATCATCATTTACCAATTCTTCTTCCTTTCTCAATTTACACACTTTATTAAATAATTTATCTTCGTCCTCCATCTTCTTACCTGTACAAAACACACACAAAGTAATTAATTATTAAATTAGATAAAAATTAAAAAGTTAAAATAAAAAATATTAGGTCTATCGAGAAAAAGGTTCACTAAGAAGATAAAAACACCAATGAGATCTGAGTTTAATCATATAATGAATTCACAAACAATAAGTTAACGAGTCTTTTACATTTTATATAGTGTTCTACTTTTTTCATTTTTATTCAATATGAGACTTAAACTCACACTTCGATTCTCAAGAAAACATTTACAAATTTATTGTTTTAAAATTTTAGATTTAATATAATACCAATCCTTTATTTAAATTGTACTCGGATGTCATGTTTAATTTCTATAAATATATATATTTATTACGAAATTAAGTTGATGGATTATTCCACTCTTTCACTGACGAATCACAACTCTCAACTTTTTTTAACCGTAAGGGACCACCCAATACCGTCTAGTTTGGAGGGTTCCTATGAATGTCCTTCTTTTTTTGTTCAACCCAACAAAACCTATAAATTCCAAATTACTTCTCATTAAAATTATAATGAAAAATCATTCATTTCATTTTTCATTCAAAATTTTCTAAATTAAATGTTTCGAAGAATATTTTCAAATTCAAAAGATACCTTTTAAAATACTTAATCCAAAAAATATACAAAATACACTCCGCATTAGATGTTTTAAAAAATATTTTTAAACCTAGAAAATATCTTTCGAAACATTCTAAAATAAATGTTTTGAAAAATATTTTCAAAAATTGTCTCGTAATATTCTAAAAAAAATATTTTTATATTCATAATTGAGTTATCTAAAAATACCTTCAATAGCTAAATTAGAATATAAAAATATTTTTTGAAAATAAGTATTTCAAAAATATTTTTCAGAACACCTAATTTAGAATATTTTTTTCTTAAATGTTCTAAAAGAAATTTTTGAACTCAAAAATATCTTCTAAAAACGTATAAAAATATTTTTTGAATTAAATATTTCATAAAAAAATTTTGGATTCTTATTTTCTTTTTCCATATGCAACTTAGAAGTCCTACTCTTCTTCTTCCAAGGAGTGTACTTGCACACACTCATCTCCAGGAAGACCAATTCCAGAGGCCTTTGACAGATGGGGAGGGAGGTGCGAGAACGAAATGTGAATAGAAAATTAGGGTTAAGTTTTCTACTGTTGAGTGAAGGGTAAAATGGACATTTTCTAATTATGAAAGTGCAGAAAGAGAAATTGGGGTGAATAAAGAAGCGCCCCTACTTTGGGTGAGTTGCTGACAAGCAGGCTAAAACACTTGTATTGCCAAAAAAAAAACAATCCTTGATCTAGATATAAATACTTCAAGTGACTTTAAACTAAAATATTTAAGTCCTTGAAGTTGTGAACTATTTTCTCATATTTAGTTGTATGAGTGGTATATTAAGCAATTAAATCTTTTAAGATATAAAAAAACTGAATATGTGATCATCTATAAAATGAAGTATTAGAAGTGATAGATGTTTTAAAATAATGAAACTGGGTATTTTAATATTTAAATAATTCAATAATATAAATAGAATTTCATAAATACATTTCATTTCTTTAAACACGTACCATCGATTTAAAGTTCCTTTTCTAGATTTCATCTTCCTTCTCTCTAAATTTTCTAACACTTGAGTCACTTCTTTGACGATTAGGAAGTGTCTAAGAAATCACGACAGTGATACCTATCCATTCATCTTATCAGTTTTCTAAAAAGAGTAAGTTAGTTTTTACTCTTTTTCTAATATAGGTTCTTTCTCGCATGTGAACCAAATTTCTAATTTTATGTGAAATTCTAGCGCTCTTTGTTGTTCTTCTAGGATCATTGGTCCTAATGGTTGATTTGGATCAAATTCTGTGGTTTTTAGGCAATTTTAGAGTTCGTTGTGCTTGAAGAAACTATGGTGCGTTCTTAGAGCTTGGTAGTTCTCTTTAAGATAAGGGAAACTAGTGACTTTGTGTTGATTTTATTTTTATATGATGGATATGATTTAAGATTGGTCGTACATTTTGTTGGCTTGGTTGGAAATAGGCATATATATTTTAGTAGAAATTGTGATTTTTCATATTTGTAATTAGCTTTTGGATGTTTGATACTTTGATGGATGTTGGACTATAATGATTATGTTTGAATTGAGTTGGTTATGAAATTTTGTGGTTTCAAATGTTGGTGATGTTCATTTGAGTGAAATGTTGAGAAGGAAGTATTAAGATTATTTACATGTCAATTTTGATTTAAAATGGTGGTGAGGGGAGGGGGAGTTTTAACAAGTGAACTTGAGAAATATTGGTCTGGAAAAATGATGAGTTAGGTTTTATTGTATGGTTAATTGGAACTTATTTGAGTTGTGAATTGATAGGTTTTCTTTTAGAATGGAGTAGTAGACAATTGGTTATGTTTTGAACGATTTTTAAGTGTATTTTAGAGGTTTAGAGTAGTGAATTTTAGAAATAGTAACTTAAATATGAGCTAAAACTTGTTTATTGGAGGAGTTGATGTTTGTGGTTGAGTCATTTTGGACTTTTTTAGAACCCTAAGTAGTTTAAATATGAGCTAAAACTTGTAGAATTCAATTTTGGTCTTTAAGATGAGGTTTTAGTTGTTTTAAGTTAAAATCTTGTAAAATAGTTAAGAACTAGTTTAAGTTGGATTATACACATTTTTTTAGGTCCATAGTAGTTTAGAATCAAATCTAAAAGTATTAGAAGTTGGTAAAAGTGTTTAGGATAGGTCATGAGAGGTTAAGGGCGCAAATTATGTAGTTTTGATGCTGCATAATTCTGCAGTCTTGTTGAGCGAGTGTATCCAATGAGCGAGTAGAACTATATCTAGCTGAGCGAGTGTAATCGTTGAGCGAGGAGAACTCACTATTTCTGTATTCGCAAAGCGAGCCATGGGGCTAAGCGAGTGGGTTGCCAAACACTTTTAGTTAAGTGAGCAGATTTAGTGGCTGAACAAAAATATCAGAATTTTCAACTAAGTTTTTATATACTTCTTAAGATGTGTTCAATATATGTGATTGTTTGAATGATTGGTTTATAATACTTATTATGAAGTATGAATTGGTTTATAATATGCATTAGAAACAATATCATGTATATGATTATGTATGATATATGATGACGATGAGTTTTGTGTTCTTTTCTCTAAGATGATTTGTTAAGCATGTAAAAAGGGGTGCCATGGGAAAGACCCTTATAGATGGTTTGTGTATATATTGGTGTAGGAGCTTTGAAATGGGGGAATGTTTTTTGACTCCAATAGTTATTCGAGCTCAAGTAGAGTGGGATGGTTATGTGATGAGGAGTGGCAAATGGTCCTTAGCATCGGGTCAGATTGACCATAGGTGTTTGACAAACTAATCTTGTGTAGAGAGTTGGAGTATGTTGTTTCACCACACATGTGCAGGTTCCCTCAGTATTCAAGATTAATATATGTATCCGAAAGGTCAGGTCTAGTGTTAGAAGTGTGTATTAAGTTGTGCTTGTTATTATTGACTTGATATTAGAAATACATGTTTGTGATTTATATTCAAGTGTGAATAACTCTTTTAAAATTAGCTTACTTGTTTGCTTGTGTTTTGTTTGATTTTTTCTATGGTAATAATCACCTAATTAGTGAAGTCTCAGTTGAACATGTTTGTGATTTATATTCAAGTGTGAATAACACTTTTAAAATTAGCTTACTTGTTTGCTTGTGTTTTGTTTGATTTTTTCTTTGGTAATAATCACCTGATTAGTGAAGTCTCAGTTGAACAGGTACTGGGAATAAAGGATGTAGATGCTTAGTTTTAGTAGCTTTTGCATATATATTTTTTATGAATCTTAAGTTGAAAGTTTATATGTTATTAGAAATAGAAACCCTAGTATATAAAAATTTGATTATAGTTATAGTTTTAGATGATGATAAATCATTTATGAGTTAAATATGTTTTAGTCCCTTAAGTATCAGACAATTTTGTTTTTAGTCCCTACTCAGAACTTTGATGGTTTTTAGTCCTTATTGTTTTGAAACTCTGACTATTAGTCCTTAAAATTGGACGGTGTTAAGTTTTCGTAGAGGTGGCAAACGGCGTTGCCACGTAAAATACCAGCTGCCCTCTTCTCTTTCTGCCACGTTCTTGATTGAAATCAAATTAACAATTAGGATTCTTAATTGGGCAATTAGGGTTCTTAATTGGGGCAAAGTTAATTAGGGTTCTTAAGAAACGGTGGGTGTGATGAAACGGTGCATCACCACGCAAACAAACTAGCCTCCAAACACAAGCGTTTCTCTCTTCTTCGACCCAGACAACACCCTATCTGCAATGTTTGTCAGGTTAGTAACTGATTAAACGAACAAAACAGAAATGAAAAAGGAAACTGTTTTTTCAGATGTTTGAAATTGTTGAAGATTGATTCTTTTCTGCGTTGTCGTAGGAGAGAAGAGCCTTCAAGTTCTGTGCAGAGAGTGTGACATGTCGATTCAATCTGCGAATGATAGGTTCCTTCTCGCTGGTGTTAAACTTTCTGCTTCTTCTTCATCGCAAGAAACCCCTTCTCCTTCAAACTCCGCCCCTGATTCTCTTTTCGACGTTTCTCATAAAAAAACATTACCTTTATCTTCCACCGTCAGTAAGGTTGGTGTTGAAGCAGCGGCTTCCACCGACGCTAGCAGCATATCGGAGTATTTGATAGAGACTCTTCCTGGGTGGCAGGTTGAAGACTTTCTCATTCATATTTTGTTCCCTTTCGTTCCAGTGCTCGTGAAATTTTCTCCAATTGAAAAAATTTACTTTGCCCCAATTAAGATCCCTAATTGCCCAATTAAGAACCCTATTTGTTAATTTGATTTCAATCAAGAACGTGGCAGAAAGAGAAGAGGGCAGCTGGTATTTAACGTGGCAACGCCGTTTGCCACCTCTACAAAAACTTAACACCGTCCAATTTTAAGGACTAATAGTCAGAGTTTCAAAACAATAAGGACTAAAAACCATCAAAATTCTGAGTTGGGACTAAAAACAAAATCGTCTGATACTTAAGGGACTAAAAACATATTTAACCCATCATTTATTTATATGTTTTTAGTCTACTAACAATTCTCGATTATGAAATTTGTGATATTTTTCTTTTAGTGTAAATGTTAATGTTATATATTGAAATGTTACATAATAAATAAATAAATAAAACAATCTCATTTTTTAAATACTTCCAAAATTATTGTAGATTTGCTTTTATATTATTTTAAAACTTAATTAGTCTTTTTTTATTTTAAATCATTGCAGTTTCTATTTTTTTTATTTTTTTAATTACATGCCAGTGTTAGCATATATCAGTATTATGACTTAAAACAAAATAAAATAATTAAAAAAAAATTAAGAATTAACATGTGTTTGCGGTTCAAAAATTAAAAATTAATTAAAAGAACCTGCTTAATTAAAACTTTTTGACTAAAATTGGACCAAAAGACTAAGTAATTTTTATTTTTCGTATTTTGATTCATTACATCTCTTAAAAGGTCATCCACGTAACTTTTCATAGTAGTTAAGAATTTAGAATAAGTCATTCCTAACTCAATTCAACGCAGGGAAACTTGTTCATAAGTTAGTAATCATCATAATAAAAGTCACTTTTAAATTAACTTGGTCCGAGAACAACTTATAGTTTCAGTAACCAAAACTCTTAATGCAACTGACTATATAACCTACCTATTCAAAACTTAATCAGATATTTCTAGATCAGTGTTTAGTGTGATTAATATAACAAATTAAAATTGATTTGTTATAAATCAAAATTAAAAATTTATATAAACAATATAAAAACTGGTCTAAAAAATAATTTATGAATAGCTTATTTCTATAGATATGAATAAGCTTAAATTCATGCTGATTTAAAAAATAATTTATGAATAGCTTAAATTCATGCAGATTTTACTTTTTTGTTCTGTTCTAGAAATCTTTAAGAAAAAGTTTTTGAAAAGAATAAGTTTATTTTACAAAGTTAAGAAAAGATATAATAAATAGAGATTTACCGTCTTCTTGCTTAATGTGTGTTTTGCTGTCAAGTTGAATGGAATTGCTATGTTGATGCGGTTCCTGATTTTGCCCTGTTTGAGTTGAATCAGTGCCAAAGAGTGCTTTGCTGAATAAGTCATCCAAATATTTTTTGATCGCTTCTGGTCCCTCGTCTTCTATGTGTTTCGGAATTATCAGCCTAGGTTCTGCATCCACTGAAATTTACTATATACATATATATAACTTTTATAGCAGAAAAATAATTCAATATATGATTTTATTATACTCACATAACTTTTACTATAATCTAATTATATTTAAAAGGACTAAATAACATATATATAAAATTTAATATTATTTTTCAGTGGTAGATTTTTATATATAAACACTGTATATGTATCCCGAAACGGCTAATTATTTTATTATTTTGAAATCAAACTCAAACGGAATGATATTTCCAATTTTTTTCATATAGTAATTTTTACTTCCAATTTGTTTCAATTATTTGATGGAACTAATAAAAAGAATCTAACTATTTTAATAAAATTATTTAATCAGTGACCCTTTTATTATTGTTGTTAATTTGTTTAAGAAATTAAACTAATTAAAAAAATAAATTTTAAAAAATTATATTATCATTCAACTATATAAAACCAAATATTTAATTAAGTAGAATAAATATTGACATATTTTGTTTTTAATATATTAAAATTTTAAATTTTAATATAAAGCTTTAATTTATATTTTGTTAATAATTAAATAATCAAATAAAATAAAAATTAATATTAATATATAATTTAATTTTTAAAAAATTATAATTTAAAATTTACAAAATAATTATTTTAAGAATTAATTATACATTAACATTAATTTTCTTCTAATAAAAACACCTAATAATTATTAAAATTTTATTTGATTAAGAAAATTTAAAATTTTATAATAAAATTATAGTTTTTTTATTACATGAAAATTAAAATGTCATTAAATAATAATATTGTAAATTTTAAATAATAATATTTTAAAATTTATAATAATTATTTTAAATTAAAATCATGATGATATTACTTTACACTGTAATAAAATCTATACCTAGCAGTAATTTTATTGCTAAAAGATAATCAACATTGAACCCATAAAAAAATAGCAATAAAACTTCTTAGACAAATAAGAACCCAAAAAATTCCAGAATTACTTATTCACGTACCCTCCTCCTTAATCTGTGTATTGCTCTCTGCTTCGATGGCATAGCTATGTGGATATGCTTCCTTATTCTGCACCGTTTCAGTAGAATCGCTTCCGAAGAGTGCGTTTTTGAATACGCTATCCAAATACTCTTTTACCGATTCTTCTCCCTGTTCCTCTACATGGCTTGGAACCGTGAATCCGTCGGAACCTTTCGGTTTGAAGTTCTCGATTGCGTTCAACGACGATGTGGCGCACGCAAAAGTGATGAACAGGAGCGTGAAGGAGATGAAGATCGGAGACGGTGAAATCGTTGACCGTGTCATGTTGATGAAGAAGTGCTGCAATTGATGAAGGAGTCTGCGTTTGGCAAAGGAATGCGTGGTTTTTATTAGTGGTTGAAAAATGGAGGAGGCGCAGTGGAAAAGGTAAAGTCTATTTACAATATTGTAAGCAGCAACTACCAAGAAAATGGTTTTAAATTGCATTGTTCAACTGCTCCAATTAAATGTTTATTTTAATCTTCATTCACATTCTAATATGAAGGAAATAGGAAACCTAAAATCATATTTTCTAGATTATATTTTATATACGAAAACATTTATTTAACAACGGATGTTTGCCAACTATTTGACAACCCATGTGGCGGTTTTGGATTGGTCGAATTTAAAAAAAAAATAGTGATACAATTGATCGAAAGGGAAATTTACGAAATTTCGTTTTGTGCTTTCCCGATTCTTCTTTCATTCGCAGTTATTCTCTGTCATCTCTTGCGTTTTCTCATCTCTCGCGTTCTCTCATCTCTCGTTCTCTCATCTCTCTAGTTATCTCAATTCTCATGTGTTCAAACCCTACTGCTTCACTTTCTAGTGGAAGGTTGGTATTGTGCCTTCTCGGTGTTTTGGACCTCCGTGTTGTGCAATATTGAAGCTGTCTTCGACGTCCCTGTCGAGCATTGGTATTATGCCTTCTCGCTGTCGTGTTTTTTAGTAAGTAGAACTGCGCGAACGTTAACCATGTTTTCCAGCATAGTCGTTTTTGTGTTTCGCTAACCCTAACCATCTTGTCATTGTGGATTGTTGTTTTGTTTATCTTATAACTACAGGTCCAATGGCAGCCCAAAAAGGAAATGTAAGATGAAATGTAATTTTTTTTATAGATGATGTGTTATCCTCTGAATTTTAGTTAATAATCATGTTTTGTTAATTTTGTGTAGTGAAGCCTTCGTACCTCGATGGATTCATCCACCATTGTTGAAATGAATCGCTTACTAGGAAAGGGTCATGCAGAGCGCATTAGGATGACTCCATTTAGGTGGTGTTTGCATATTCTGAGCCCTTTGGAGGTCAATTTGAAATTATTGAAGGTGATGGTGTGTCGCTAGGCTGGGCACGATGTTAGTTTTAGAGTTAGTCAACAATTGGTCCCATTTACGGTTTTTGATGCGTTCATGAGCACAGATTTAGAAAAAGGTGGTTTAGACATCCCTTTTGATGAATCAGTAGTTGGATTGGTTGGTCAAATGTTAAATCCAAAAACCACTACTTTGAAGGAGTTGATTGACATGTTTAATGTGATTGTCCAGGATCAAAACATTGAGGTTGATGTAGTATGTAGGTTATATATATTAGTGTGTTTGGTTGCATTTTATTTTCCTAGGAAGTTTGTCTATGTTTCTAACATGCCTTGTGCAGTGTTAGATGACTTAGACAATTTGTGTCTATACGATTGGGGCACCGGTGTACATAAACATATTGTACATAATTTAAATAAATGTATGAAGAAAATAATGTCGGGACTTATCGCCCAGTCATTGAGTCTTAGTGGCAATGTGGTCGTGTTGCAGGTAACATGATTTATAATTGTTTAAGTCAATGGAATGGACAACATTGTAAAATATGAGTCACTATTTATTTTGATATTGTAGGCTTGGGCGGTTGAAAGACTTTCTTTGCATGGTCATGCCTCTCACGGGAGGTTCCCGCGCATATTGCGATGGTTCCCATATAACTCAAGGACCAAAAAAATTGAACATATCTTTCAAACCGGAGATGTAAGTCTTTCAACTTTTGTTATATGTTTTTTTTAATTATTGATGGTCGTATTTCCCTAATTTTGTTGTTTGTGTTTGGTATAGTTAAATCTCGAGTGGTATGTAAGTAAGCAAGATCTTCAATTGCCCAAAATCCATGCTACTTTCCACATGGATGACGAGGGATGGGTGAAGGATCGTTGGCTGAACGATGCAGGGTTGAGGAAGCAGATGATAAAAGCTCCGATGACGACACTTGGGAAGCAAGTGCTGAGGAGAGAATGAGGAAAAATAATCAAAATATCATAACATTGAATGTCAAGATTGGAGTTCGTACGAGGGAGTTAATTGAAATTTGTCAAACTCCAATCTTTAATGAAGAAGCTCCATGTGGTAATGATGAAGAAGTTGGTGGTAGAGGTCATGAAGCACCTACAGGTGGAGGTGATGATGGATTTGATGAAGAAGCTATTGGTGGAGCTGTTGAAGACCATGCAGGTGCATTTAATGAACAACCAGGGGATGACGAACCTAAGTATGAAGATGAGAAAGTTTCAGCATCTCATCATCCAAGTGTTTGTATTGAAATTGATGATGATGGTGATGATGATGAAGGGGAGGTGATACCATTGGCGATCCCCCCTTTGCGTAGTTTTGTTGGTGATCCAACCACTACTGTCGATGTTGACCAATTGTACTATGCAGTCAGCGTAAGAGACAGTGTACACAAGTAATTGATGAAAATTGTATTTGTCATTGGTGAAAGGTGATTGTTTCTGATTGAATAATATTTATTTTTTAGGGTTGTATGTGAAATAATTGGGTAGAGCTTGAGCACAACTTCATGTTATACTTTAGCGCCAACCAAATACGTTGATAACATGGTAACTATTATGTGACATTGCTTTATGTTTAATGTTGGTGGTTATGTTAATAATTTCTACAATTTTCATTGCGTAGGTGGTGTTATTTGCTAGTACAATTTTTATGTACTTTGAGAAAAGGTTGTCCGGTGTTGTTAAGAGGATTCATTTCAGTCCATTATACGCGGTAAATAAAATTTGTTATGATATCATATATTTGAAGGTACAAATTATGTGTAAGGCATTGTGGATTGATGAATTTGAAATTGTCCACAACACCATATTCCTATTGATTATAGGAGACGTCCACAAAATCGTCATGTGTTTACTCTTCATAATTACAACACCTATTTGCATTCTGATCATTTTGGAGTTGGAGACATTGTCACAGCTGACTTTGTGAGTTAGGTTTAATTTCTAATGACAATGTTTGCCCAATTTTATATTTTCATGTATTGACATTTGGTTTTCTTTGTTTGTAGTTGTTTTCTCCATTTGTCCATGATGATCATTCGTGGTGTTATTCAGTGAAACTTAGTACATTATAAATATTTTTGATTGACTCATTGGGGAGGGGTATCAGAGACCGGAAAAGGATTAACACAACTATTGTAAGATTGCACAATTTATGTTTAAAAATAAATTGCTTATTGTCATTTAACCGTGTATTGTTTAACTTGTTATTGTATTTCTTATTTGGTAGGCTGAAAATCTTCAACGATTTTTTTGCATCTTGTACAATAGACCGAAAGGGAGTATTGGACCTTTGTCTGTTCAACAAGCAAATATTTCATCCCAACCAAAGTTGTAAGTTGTTATAACCATTATCTTTAAATATTTGGTGTTGTCATTAATGTAGGTTGTGAGAACTGTTATATGTTATGGTTGTATTGTTTCAGACATGATTGTGGAGTTATAATGTTAAAAGCAATGAAAATTTGCGATGGAGAGGACAAATACAACGGAAAAAGCATGCCTCAATATACGAATGTAAGTATCATTATGATTGTTAGAAATATTTGATGATTGTGTTAATTTCTAAAGTGAAAAATGTTGGTTTCAGGAGGAGTTGCTTGGAATTAAAAATAAATATGTATGTGAATGAATCCTCAACAACGAGAAAATTAGAAGAATGGAAGCGCTGGAGGAATATGGAATGTTGTAGGATTGTTTCCATTTGTAGAAATTTTGTTTGTATTTAGAGGAAGATGATTTTTTTCCAATAATATTGTTATATGTACAGATTGTAACAAACAATGTTTATATATGTACATATTGTTATTGCAATAAGATGATAGCTTTCATGATTACTTGATGTGAAATGTATTTTTTTTTACGTTGTGTGTGTTTTGATGACAAAGGAACGCGCAATATTAATAAGTCTTTTAAATTAAGTCAATGGTTTACCAAGTTAAGTGAACTCGTGAAACTTGTGGAGGAAGAAACACAGAAGTAATCGATTACAAGTGCCTGGTAAACGATTACACGAGTAAAATGTGTGTTGTGTACACCCACTTACACTGCAGAAGCCAACTATGGTAACTTGGGTGACCATGATCAAATTTTGTTAATTTCTTACATAAATCCAGTGGTTTTGACTTGATTTTGTTGTTTAAGTGTGAGTAGATGCTAGAAAATCATGTTTGGGAACCCCATGATGGATGAAAAGAACAATGTTTATGAGATGAGCAACTTAGGTGAAGTTTTGAGACTTGTGCAGGGAAAACACATTGGTAATCGTTTACAACTGGCTGGTAAACGATTACGCAAACAAAATCTTGATTTTGTACAGAATCTTGAACAGCAGTAGCCAGCTGTGGTAACCTAGGTGATCGTTTACCACAGCTGGCTCCTGTAGTTCAAGATTCTATACAAAATCAAGATTATGTTCGCGTAATCGTTTACCAGGAAGTTGTAAACGATTACCAAGGTGCTTTTCCTTTCACAAGTGTGAGGACTTCACCTAAGTTTCTCATCTCACAAACAATGTTCCTTTCCTCCATCAAGGGGTCACCAAACATGACTTCTCAGCCTCTACTCACACTTAAACACCAAAATCAAGTCAAGACCACTGGACTTATGTAACAAAGTTACAAATTTTGACAATGGTCACCCAGGTTATCACAGCTGGCTCCTGCAGTTCAAGATTCCTTACAAAATCAAGATTATGTTCGCGTAATCGTTTACCAGGCAGTTGTAAATGATTACCAGTGTGTTTTCCCTGCACAAGTCTCAGAAATTCATTACAAACGCGAGTTATTGCGGACATGTAAAGTAATATTAATCATTTAAGAAAGTTGATTGAAGAGAAAAATGAAGATAAGGGTCTAGAGTTTGGGGAGGCATCATATTGGAGAAGTGAAGATCGTTGTCAAAGTACGTCGGTTGAACATCAGCAACAAAAAATGAAGGTTGTTGTCTTCCTTGCCTCCCATAACCAACCATCGTAGTCAAATCTCTTAACTCCTTATTCATTTCAATCATTCTCCTTTAGTTGCTTTTATTATCTTCATCAGAAGTTCTTCCCAATCTCATCTGCACCATGTTGTGGTATTGCCCCT